AAATTTAAATAGTAATAACGTTATGTTTTTGTTCCATTTACAAACTTAAACTTAGTGTGTGTGTGTGTTTGGTTTAACAAAAGTTTAATTCCCATTCTCATAAGGTCCATCACAGGTCTGGGAGACTCCAGAAAAGGAGCTCTCCATGTGGAGGCTCAGTATTGCAGACTACTTTGACCTTGTGGCCCTGATTTCTATGTGGACAATCCATCATTGAGGCAGGAAGAGCACTACAGAGTCTTGCAAGTACCCTCAGTTGTCTTAACAACAAACCTTCCCACTTAAATAATTCTTATAAATATCATAAGTGAAACTTATAAATATGGTGAACTTCAGGTTCTCCTAAATGTTCTAAACCTCTTTGTAAAGTTAAACAGATTTTGACTTAAAATTGTAACCCATAATCAGGGGCCCCTTGGTGGTTTACTCGGCTGAGCACCTATCTTCAGCTTGGGTCATGATCTCAGGATCCTGGAATTGTGCCCATGTCGGGCTCCCTGCTCAGCGGGGAGTATCCTTCTCTCTCTGCTCTAACCCCCCCACCTCTCAGTTGTGTGCTCTCTCTTTCTCAAATAAATAAAATCTTTAAAAATATATAAAATTATAACTCATAATCAATTTCACATTTTAAACCAGAACGACAGAACTGACCTATTGACTCTAACAAGCCAAATTCTTTTAAACATAGAAATGCATAAAATACCAAATATTCACAGGAATTTTACTTTTTAAAGATCTTTATTTACCTGAGAGAGAGCACAAGTAGAGAGGAGGAGGAGAAGCAGACTCCCTGCTGAGCAGGGAGCCTGATGCGGGCTCAATCCCCAGACCCTGGGATCATGGCCTGAGCTGAAGGCAGACGTTTAACTGACTGAGCCACCAGGCACCCCAGAAATTCTTTTTTATGCTCTTCAACATGTCCTATCTTAATTCCTTACCTTCTCAGCATTATAAGTTATTCACCCACTAAGGAAACACCTGTTGTATCCCATACAGTTTTTGGAGTTCCTTTCTGTTGTACTCTTTAGAGTTGTCTTCTCAGCTTGTTGAGATGTCATGTCATCAGAGGACATTAGCTGGGGTCCAGTGACTCTCTGAGAGTCTGGACTTGACTTAGGAGTCCAGACTTGCTTCCCTTCTACCTCTCTGGCCCCTCTTCCTCAGTCTCCTTGGCTGGTTCCTTCGCATCTCCCCAAACTTGATGGACCTCTTCTCCGTTTGTATTATCTCCCTTGATCTCACCCAGCCTCATGTCAGATAGCATCTGTATGCTGATGACTTCTAAATTTCTGTCCTTAGCCTACTCTGTCCTGAATTCATTTATCCAGTTGCCTACTCAGCATCCCCACTTGGATGCCTCATAGATATCTTTTTCTTTTTATTGTATTCGGTTAGCCACTGTATAGTACATAACTAGTTTTTGATATACTGTTCAGTATTCATTAGTTAAGTATAACACCTAGTGCTCATCACAGCACATGCCCTCCTCAATACCCATCACCCATCTTAACATGTTCAAAACTGAGTTCTTTCTTTCCCACACAACCCAGTGGCTTCTCGTTTTCCCTCATCTCAGTTAACGGTGTCTCCATTTCTGGTTGTCCAGCCAAAAATCTTCGTGTTGTCTCTAACTCCACATTGACTCAGCAAATCTTGTTGGCCCTGCCCTCAAAACGTATCCTGAATTATCCTCTTTCATATTACTTACATCATTTCTGTGCTAATCCAAGCTGTTATTATCTCTCACCTGCATTATTCTAGTGGGCTTCTAGTCTCCCTGCTTCCACCCCGGTCCGGAGAAGCTGCTCTCAACCTAGTGATTTATTAAAATGTAAATCAGATTATCACCCTCCAGACTCCCATCTCACTCAAAGAAAAAGAATCTCTTTGGTGGCCTCAGGGCCCACCATACTTCTACTCCCCCACATTTTTACTTCATTTTCTGCTACTCTCCCCCTCCCTCTCTCTATACCAGCTATAGCCTTCGTTGCTCTTCCTCCAGCTCATCCAGCTAACTCCAAGCTCAGGGGCTTTGCTCTTACTCTTTCCTCTGCCTGGGATACACTTTTCCCAGATATCCGTATAGCCCGTTCTCTCACTTCCTGCAAGTCTCTGGTCAAAATCACTTCAGCGCACACTTACTTTTTTATTTCTAAGTTTTTCTTTAAATTCCATTTAGTTAACATATAGTATAATGTTTAGTTTCAGATGTGCAATGTAGTGATTCAACACTTTTAATCAAGACTCAGTGCTCATAACAAGTGCACTCCTTAATATCACCTATTTAGCCCATCCCCCCACCCACCTCCCTTCTGGGAACTGTCAGTTTGTTCTCTAAGAGTCTGTTTCTTAGTTTGCTTCTCTCTTTCTTTTTTCTCCAACTCTTTGCTCCTTTTATTTTTTTAAGTTTTTATTTAAATTCTAGTAGTTGACATACAGCATAATGTTAGTTTCAGGTGTATAATGTAGTGATTCAACACTTCCATTCAACACCCTGTGCTCATCATAACAAGCCTGTACACGTATTTAAATTACAGCCACCCCCTTCACACACACTGTTCCACCCTCCATCTCTGGTTGACTTTTTTCCTTGATACCTATCCCCTCCTTATATTTATTTCACTTATTAATCTTGTTCATATTCTCCTCTCACCACTAGAATATAAATTCCATGAAATCAGGAATTTTAACCTGTTTTGTTCACCACTGTATTCTCAGAGTCTAAAATAGTGCTCAATAAATATGTGTTGAATGTGTGGGTAAAAGAATATAACAGGTATCATATAAATTAATGAATTGAGCAAGTGGCTACACAACTTAGATATGAAGTGTGTCATTATCTACTTTGCCTTTGCACAGATTTTGTAACCACCTACATGATAGAATGATTTTATTTCATTTTTAATTTCTTTAGCTCTTTTATAAGAAAACTGTAAATTTTTTTAACTTTACAGAGTTTTATGTTTTTTCATGGATCTTTTCTAATCATGTCTCATGAAAATACACAACTCTTACAGATTTTAATTTGAGATGTCTTAAGGCTTTCTTCAGTTACTTGGTCACAACCCGGAACTGGATGAGATTGGGAGGAGTCAGGAGCTAGGTTGTTAAGGATCTTATATATGTAGTAAGAGATTATGTTTTATCCTGAAAGAAAATGCAAGCTATTGAAGGGTTGTTAACAGAGTGACATGGTTGGATTTGCATGTTATGTAAGGTCATTCAGGAGGTGAACTGGAAAACGGATTTGACAAGATGAAGCCAGAAGCAGGAAGTTAGGAGTTTATGAAAATTGTCCAAGTGAAAGGTGAAGAGAGCGTGCACCATTAGTTCCAAACTTTGTATTTTTAGCTCCAACCTTTCTCCTGAATTCCAGACCTATATATTCAACTGGCTATTTGAATCTCTACTCACAGGTCTAAAAGGCATCTCTCATTAACATACTCAAAATAGAGAATTTGGGGGGCACCTGGCTGGCTCAGTCGGTGGAGCTTGTGACTCTTATTCTCAGGGTTGTGAGTTCAAGCCCCATATTGCGTGGAGATTACTTATATAAATAAAACTTTAAAAAAATAGAGCATTTCGTTTCCCTTCTAATCGGTTCTCTTAGTCTTCCCCACTTCAGTTAATAACACCACCATGTATTAAGTTGTTCTCATCAAAATTAGGAGTCATTTTGATTTTTCCCTTCCCATCACTTACCCTTGCAAACATAGACATATCAGATCCCTTTCCAAATTCTTTTGGCTCATCTTCTAAAATACAGCCTGAACCCTTCCACTTTTCACCATTGATATCATTACTTACCACCCTAAACCAAAGCTACTTCCACCTCTAGACCATTCTAGTGCTCCCTTAGCTAACTGGTTCCCCCACTGTTACCTCCTCTCAGCCTTCTATAGTACTCCATCTTCCAAATGGCAGCTGAAGTCATTCTCTTAAAGCATAATCTCTTGCTCTCAATTTCCAGTGGCTTTTCCTCATACTCAAAACCAAAATTCTTGTCTACTGAACTGATCTCACCTTATACCACTTTGCTCCTTAACTCCATGCTGTACTTTCTTTCCATGCTTTGAAACACATGAAGACCACTCCCAGCTATTCTTGACCCATTCTCTCTGTCTTCCCTTAGCTCTTTACATGCCAGTTCCTTTTTATGATTCAAGTGTCAGGGGCACCTGGGTGGCTCAGTTAGTTGAGCATCTGCCTTCAGTTCAAATGATGATCTCAGGGTCCTGGAATTGAGCCCCACATTAAGCCCCCTCCTCAGTGGGGAGTCTGCTTGTCCCTCTGCCTCTGCCCCTTTCTCTGCTCATGCTCTCTCTCAAATCAGTAAAATGAAATAAAATCTTTAAAATGCTTACCACTGAAGTGTCAGTTCAAATACTGCTTCATTAGAAAGGACTTGGCTGACTTGACAAGCTAAAGCACCCCTCCCCACGAAAGGTCCTCTTTATTAAACCATGCTGTTTTGTTTTCTTTGTGCAGTGACCACAAACTGAAGGTATCTTTACCATTCTGTTGTTTATTATTTGTGTCTCCCCCTGGAATGGAGGCTCAGTGAGAGCATGGGTTTTATCTGTCTGGACCCACAAATATACCACAATATCTACACAGCCGTAGTAGATGTCTGGCACATAGTAGATGCTCAGTCAATCTATTCAATGGTGGATAAAAGAATGGACCTCAAGTAAAGCTGCAGCCTTAGAGAGAGGGAGGATAAAGTCTTTAAAGAGCTGGGCGAGACTATGAGTTCCACAAAGGTAGCGTTCACTGACTACTCCCAAGCATTGGGCCTTCTTGACCCATAGATGGGTCAATATTCCATGAACAAATAAAATGGGTGAGTTTCAGTGACCCCTTATGTCAGGAAAATAAGACAAGGAGAAATTAAAGATGACCTCAGATTTCTGGTTTGGCCTATCCAGGCGTGAGAAATAGAGCTGGAATCGAAACCCTGACATCTATCTCACTGCATCTTCTTTCTGTGCACCGCCTAGATGGCTGATTCTGACCCTGGAGAAAGAAACTATGACAACATGCTGAAAATGCTGTCAGACCTGAATAAAGACTTGGAAAAGCTACTGGAAGAGATGGAGAAAATCTCAGGTAGGGTGTTTCCCCCCTTATTTCCAGTAGGTCAAATTCTTCCTACACTTTTGAGCTCAAATCAACTCCCTTAACAAGGTCTTCCCTGACCACCTCTCAGCTTCCACGCCATGTAACTACTCTACCACAGAGTTGGACCCTACCACTAAAGATCGCCTCGCAATGTTTTCTGATTACTTTATGTGTGTCTGTATCCTATTTCTGTGACTGGACTCTTCTGAGGGCAGAAACGGTGATTTCTTTTTTGTAACTGGGCACAGTACCAAACCCAAGCTCAAATACTTAGCAAATGACAAACAGTATAACACCTGTGAACAGAATTAGAACTGACTTTCTATGAGTTGTTTAAATACAGAACACAGAGTAATAGTGCTAAGACGGATGAGGTGCTGAAATGGGAGGTTCACTTAGTTCCATGGAATAAAGCAGCAGGGGAGTTGAACAAGTTTCTCCGTTTTGGGAAAAGAATGTTAGTCTGTTATTCAACATGTTTCCATTAAGTGATAAACAGCCATGGTAGTGATACCATTATAATTACTTTTTCAAAGATTTTATTTTTAAGTAATCTTACAACCAATGTGAGGCTTCAACTCGTAACCCCGAGATCAAGTCATATGTTCCACAGACTGAGCCAGCCACCCCCATTATAATTTCTTTATTTCATTCTAATCCAGAATATGTATAATTCTCTAATTTGTAAGCCTAAGTTATATTAAAGAAAATAGTAATATAAAACAAATTTTAGAAAGTATGCATACTCTATTCAAATGAGAAACAACATGTTTTTAAGGACATTATTAGTTTGCAAATAATCTCCATTTATTACAATGGGCTTTTGAAAATTTCTACTTAAAAATGTTTGCATTTTTTGGTCTATGTACTTGAAAGCTTTTTATATTTTTAAATCACCTTTTTAGAAAGTTCTATAATCCAGAGCACCTGGGGGGCTTGGTTGGTTAAGTGGCTGCCTTTGGTTTGGGTTGTGATCCGGGGGTCCTGGGATCAAGCCCTGCATCAGACTCCCTGCAATGGGGAGTCTGCTGCTCCAGCTCCTTCTGCCCCTCCCCTGCTTATGCTCTCTCTCTCAAATAAATAAATAAAATCATAAATAAATAAGTAAATAAAGTTGAATAGAGATGCTCCTTCATTAGAATAAGTAGGTAGGGGGCTGGAAACAGACATCAAGATGATTAATTATAATTTAAATATGTAAATTAAAACACATTTCAATTTTATATTAAAACTATAATCTGGCAGATGCTGATAATGGTATATACCAAGCGCTACGGAGGGAACAAAAAAAGAGAGGCTGACTGGGGAGGCAAGTGAGGCTTTGAACAGAGCACTAGGGAAGGAATTGAGATTGGACAGATGAGTCAGGGGTGTTGGAGGTAGACAAGACAGGCAACCCTATAGAAGAAATAGCCTAGGCTGTGTGCCAATGAAGGAAAGCCAGGTGTAGTCAAGGAACGAGATTAGTGCATGGGAATCACAAGATCACAGACCAAAGAAAGAAGAGGTTGTAAAGGTAAGAAGGGTCTCAGTGCCAAGCTAAAGAGTTTGACCTTTCTTATTTAGGTAATAGGAAGCCATTTGGGATCTCAAGGAAGAAACTTATGTTTTGGAAAGACATCCCTGGGGGCGCCTGGGTGGTGCAGCTAAAGCTTCTGCCTCTTGGTGTCAGCTCAGTTCTGATCTCGGGGTTGTGAGGTTGAGCCCCATGTTGGTGTCCTCGCTCAGTGAGGAGTCTGCTTGAGTTTCTCGCTCTCCTTCTGCCCCTCCCCCTTGCTCACTCTCTCTCCTCTCTCTCAGATAAATAAATAAATCTTTAAAAAAAAGAAAAGAAAAGAAAGAAAGATACCTCTGGTAACCGAAGAAGAATGGTTTGGAGAAGGAAGACTAGAGGAAAGATCATTCAGGAAGTTTGCAAAACTAAAAGCTAAAATGGGGGCCACCTGTGTGGTTCAGTCAGTCAAGCAACCGACTCTTGATTTTGGCTCAGGTCATGATCTCAGGGTCATGTGAGATCAATCCCCACATCACATGGAACCTGCTTAAGATTCTCTCTCTCTCTCTCTCTCAAAAATAAATAAAAGCTGAAACAATAGAAAAAATAAAATCAACAAAACTCAGTCACCCAGAATTAACTATTAATGTTGGTGAACCTTATGGCAAGTCTCTGTCTGTGCAAAAATAGAATGATGGATCAATGGATTGATGCATGGAGGAATCTTTTTTTTTTAAAGATATGCTTTAATTAAAATAGAATCATACTATATAAGCTACTTTTAAAATAGGGTATTCACCATTTAAATTGAAGTGAAACTGAAGAAATTCTTCACTTTTTTTTAAAGTATTTATTTATTGGAGCGAGAGTACAAGCAGGTAGGAGGGGCAGAGGGAGAAACAGGGAGCCCTACACGGAGCTCGATCTCAGGACCCTGGGATCATGACCTGAGCCAAAGGCAGAGGGGCTTTAACCCACTGAGCCATCCAGGCACCCCGAATTTCTTCATTCTAAACAAATATTTTTTTTCAATGTAAGCAAATATCTTTATGTCAGAGAAGGATTTATTAAAAAGTACACAAAACACACTAATATAAGGAAAAGATTAGTAATTTAACTACATTAAAAATAAGAACTTTTAAAAAACATGTCCCAATGTATAAGTACATCAAGTCATCACATTGAACACCTTAAATATATACATTTTTTTTAGCATTTTAGTATTTTTATTTTCTTTTTTAATTAACATATAATGTACTATTTGCCCCAGGGGTACAGGCCTGTGAATCATCAGGCTTATACATTTCACAGCGCTCACCGTAGCCCACACCCTTCCCAATGTCCACACCCCCACCACCCTCTCCACACACTCCCTCCCAGCAGCAACCCTCATTTTGTTTCTCTTAGGCTTTGTCACCCTCCTGATCCCATCTTTAAACACCATAAAAAATACATTCGCTTCTGTAAGATTGTTCCAAAATTAAGAAGGTTTGTGGGAAAACATTAAGGAAACTCATGTTATTTCTTCAGGTATTTCATTTATCCTTGTTCAGGATCTAATAATACTAATAAGCAACATTTATTCAGTGTTTATTAAATGCTAGATGCTGTTCTAAGCACTTTACGTGAAATAGTTCATTTAATCCTCACAACAGTTTTATGAGCTATAGGGACTCTTACTATCCCTATTTTATGGATGAAGAAACTGAGGCAAAACTGTCATTCATTATACTGTATTCGTTCATTATCAACTACAAATAACATTTATATTAGTAATAATATTTACAACATTTACATTCTGTTCACATAAATCCTACAGTTGTTGAGATTTACACATCCTGTATTCAATAGTTCAAATATTTAAACCTAAAAACTATAGCTATGGATATGTTCCTTGAATTTATAAAGGTGGGGGCACCTGACTGGCTCAGCTGATAGAGTATGTGATTCTTGATCCTGGGGTTGTAGGTTCAAGCCCCATGTTGGGTGTGGGATTACTTAAAAATAAAATTCAAGGGGCACCTGGGTAGCTCAGATGGTTGGACATCTGCTGTTGGCTCAGGTCATGATTTACAGGTCCTAGGATTGAGCCCCATGTCGGGCTCCCAGCTCACCGGGGAGTCTGCTTCTCCCTCTCCCTCTGCCTCTCCCCCTTCATCTGCCCTCTCTGTTTCTCTCTCTCTCTCTCTCTCTCCCTCTCTCTCTCAAATAAATGAATAAAATCTTAAAAAATTAAAAAATATGTCTACATTTATAACTGGATGGTAATTTGGCTAGGTGATTATTTTCTTTACAACTCAAAAGATGTTTTCAGCATTTAGTGGCTCTGTGTGAGGCCTGCCCATGTGTTTCCTCTTGAAAGTGACTTACTTTTTCTGCCTCTAAGATTCTTTATTCTGGAAGTTCTATACTTCACTAACATGAGATTGGTGTTAATATTCTCTAACACTTTTTGTGGGATACATTAGACCTCTAGAGCAGTAGGCTTCTGTTATTATTATTTTTTTTTAAGATTTTATTTATTTATTTGAGAGAGAGACAGTGAGAGAGAGCATGAGCGAGGAGAAGGTCAGAGAGAGAAGCAGACTCCCTGTGGAGCTGGGAGCCCGATGTGGGACTCGATCCCGGGACTCCGGGATCATGACCTGAGCCAAAGGCAGTCGTCCAACCAACTGAGCCACCCAGGCGCCCCTGTTATTATTTTTTTTTTTTTTGAGAGAGAGAGAGAGAGAACATGCACACACAAGTGGGGATAGAGGGCAGAGGAAGAGGGAGAGAGAGAATCATAAGCAGGCTCCATTCCCAGTGCAGAGCTGGATGCAGGGCTCCATTTCACCACCCTGAGAGCATGACCTGAGCTGAAATCAAGAGTTGGACACTTAACTGACTGAGCCACTCAGGCGCTCCTTTAGTATTTTTTTAAAAGAAACATGACAAAGTATACTTTGTATACTATTTCTTTGGTTTACTTCTTCAGAAATTCCAATTATCCATTGTACATCTTGTTTTGTGTTAATCTTCTTTATCATCTCTATAACCTCTCTTATTACTTTGTTATTTTCCATTTTATTTTCTGTTGGTTCCTTGAGACTGTTCCTCTAGTCCCTGATTGTGCTGTTGTAGAAAAAATTGTTCATTTTCAATCTCAGATGTAGAAAATTGATTTTATCATACCCTCAGTTCATGATACATTGTGATAATTGGCCCACGAAGAACCCCTCTAGTTTATTTTTTATTGCCTTATTCCCATAGCCATTCTCTTTCCTCTCTCCCATAGATATATATTTTGTGTGTGTGTGTTCTTATGAAATACATGTTGCTATTTTATAAATTTATTTTAAATTTCTGTAAATAGTATTGTGTTATATGTCTCGTGCTGTTTGTTTGGGGTTTTTTTCATTCAGAACTATGTATGTCAGCTCGTTCCAAGATGCCATGTATACATCCAATCTATTGCTATTAAATGCTGAAAAGTTTGCATATGCAGTAGTGT